GTCATTAACGAAACAAACGCGTATTTTGATAACTTTGAGAAAACCTATTATTTGGAGAGAATAAGAAAATTAGAAAAACGCTGGACTAAATGTATCGATTTAAAAGGTGATTGTGTGGAAAAATAAAATGCTTATTTGCCGAAAAAAATTTGTTTTATTCAAAAAGTCACTGAATTATCAAACCGCCCTCGTATATTCCATTTGCGTCTTTTATGATATTTCATTTTAATAATATTACTTGTTTAATTGTTAAAATTGCTTTCAAAAGCGAGCATTAAAAAAAATGCATTTTTTGATTTTTAATATCATGAAATGAAATGTTTACGAAGCATAAATGTATCTATTTTTTTAATAACAAATAATTAAACGCAAATATACATATGAAAGTAAAATACAACTCAATAATAATAGCAATAATAAGTTGTTGGTGTGCTTGAAGCTCAAAATTATAAAGTTATACGCGTATTCAGGCTTAACAGGGAGACAGCGACAGACGTCACGAAAACCTAGGACTACTATTATCAGATGTTCTACTCATAGTCACTTGGTTTTCTAGTCTTTCTGTGATACATGTACTCTAGATTCAGGACCATAAATTCAAACCAATTTATTTTCAAAAGTATGCACTGTTGACATCAATTAATGCCAGTCAATCAGTTTCGATAGCAATTAGTAAAGTAGCCATTAAAAATAAATAAATAAATAAATTAGAAATTTTTTTGGATATAACATTTATAATGGCAGCAGTCCTAGAGTTCCATTTTTCTTTCTACCATTATTTCGAAGGTTACTTAATTTTCAAAATTACTTTTATCTAAAATAGGGCTGTCCAAACGTTGGTCTGCGTGGTAGGTAAAAATTACCAAGTATGGATACATAGCTTGTAGTTTGTCCACTGAGACTTCACTTTTTAGAAAATAGGCATAAAAAACTGTATATACCTAAAAAGTGTAAATACCTATTTTATAATCTATGTAATGTACCTATGCACTTCATTATACATTGAACCAGAGATGCTTAAAGCATATTTAAATAATCATAATAAATAATCATAATCGTTAAATAATCATAATCATAATATATCATAGTGGTCCTTGATCAAAAAAAGTTTAGGAATCACTGACTTATATGTAAGAATTTTTTCCGAACTCATTATCTTCTTCTTCTTCTTCTTCATTATCAAATTGTTTTGGAATTGAGCTCAGGGCAAACCAATATTGTTTATTCCTTAAACTAAGTTTCTTTAACTTAAAAAGTTATTAATTTTATAATTAAGCAACGTTAGATCATTTATTAGCGCTAGAAAAATCTTATTAATTAAACTATTTAATCTAATCTAATTACATGAAGGACTGGTTTGAGAATCTTTATTTGGGTTTTGTAAATGCGTTCTGCACAAACTAATATTGTCCATTCCTGAGAATTAATTTGCTTAACTTAAAAAATGATTAATTTTATATATAACCAGCGTAAGGTGATTAATTCCCACACTCCTTAAAATACCAGTGATTTAGAAAAATTTCCACTAGAAAACTTATAAAATTTTCACACAACCATAACATATAACCCATATCTTTTTATGGCTTACACTTAAAATGCTTTCTGTATAGCCTTTGATTTTCTTTGACTTAATTATTTGAACAAATTTTCCTAATTTATTTATCGCATTATTATAAGTAACTTAAATAGGCTTGAAAAACCACACCCCACTAACACGTCATAAACAAAATGTTAGCACTCAAAAGTATTTCAAAGCATAAACTCTAAGTCCCCATTTTCGTACAGTTAACCAACGCGTCTAATTAGTACCGCCTTCGTACTCTGGTAAGCGCAACAGAATGACATACTATTTTAAATTATGGCTCGTACTAGTAGAAGTACAAACCGAAACCGAAATTGGAATTTCAAATTCGCTTTCTTTATTTATACGAGCTCATATACGAGTACACGGGGCATAAAAACCTCCGAAAGGGGCGTTACGACGTCTTATACATTTATGGCCACAGTCGTAAAATAACATTTTTGATTTTTATTTTAACTTTAAACATACATTTGCGCATACCTAAAACCATTTTAGCCAAAGTGTTACAAATTTCAAAAGTTTTTCATTCCTTCATAGGCAATGGACCAAATTTCAGGGTACGGAAAATTTCTACTTAAATCAATTCGTTACGTTTGAACATGTTCATTATAATTTATTATTTTTGGCTTATTTAAGATACAAATGCATACATAATTATGCATGGAAACACATGGAAACCCAGGGAAGGCAATAAATTTGCATATTTTAGTTGCCACTGATATTGGACGGTGATCCGTTTCTAATGCCGTGTTGGTTCTCTAAATTTTTACTTATTAAAACTAATCTAAATATAATTGCAGTTCGAAACCAACTCGAGCCAATGGAACGGAAAAGACAAAGATATGTGATAATAATCACATAATCGCTTTTTATCAATTCGATTTTTAATGATTTTAATAATTTTTATATTCTTCTCGAGTTTTTCCATAATTTTGAATATTTAAGCAAGCAATTCTTCTCCATTTCGGCGTTTCTGTCCTCATTTAGACAAATATTTTATGATTGCGACCTTTCGGCGTTTAGTTAAGAAAGTTAAATAAATTTGAATGATTTGAATGATGCGTTTAACTTTAACCTGTTGTCGATAGCGTTTTTATGGGTTTTATTAATTTTTAATAATATTTAAGTCGAGCACAAGCACGCAGGGGACTCAAACTCATACAGTTCAGCAGTATCAGTTAATTTTATTTAAACCCAAGAAAAAATGTTATCAATAGAGGTTAGCGACTAAATACAACAAATATGAGATATCCAATATTAGTTTTTAATTAAAATTAATATTATATTATTTATGTATTTATTTATTAATTATTTATTTACTTATCTATTTCATTTACTTGTTCAGTTATTTATTTAAGACTTTATTTATGTTTTTATTTATTTATATATATTTATTGATTTATATATTCATTTAATTATTTGTTTATTTGTTTATATGTTTATTTGTAATATAAATTTATATAAAGATTTTATAATTTTATATAAAGAATTTAATCTACAGTTATTAAATATATAGCCATAGATGTATTAGGTGCTTACTTAGATCGTTTAATACAATTATATAGTGAAACTATAGTCATAACATAGTGAATGAAAATCTTGATATACCAAAATAGAATAAATAAAGCCAAAAAATTCAATTAATTAAAATAATATAAAATGAATTTTTATTGTTGTATGTTAGTTCACTACTGTTCGAAAAACCTTTTTATGAAATGTACTAAGATTCTATTAAATATAATAGTCACTTCAGTCTGAAAAATTTGACTTTAAATTACAACTTATATTTATAAAATATTGGTCTCGCTCGTGTCATTAGTGGAGTAACATTAGCATGACTTCCTCAGTATTACGTTCTTAGATTAGGTTCTATACATAAGAAAGAATATATAAATCATACAATGCTCCTACAAACGGAATAGTATTGAAATTTAACACTTAAAAAATGAAAATATGATTAATTAATTCAATTATTCTACAGCTGGTTTATGATTTCGTTCTAATATAAACACAGTAAGTGAATTTTTACAGCAAAGTAAAAGAACTCCAGAAAAATGTGCGAACATAGAAGTCAACTACAGCTTTGGATCAGTTGGTTAACGAGCGCTGACGCTGACCTTCAAATTTGGCAGGGATCGAGTTCGATTCCTGGTACTTGCAGTTTCAAAAAAAATTATTTACAAATAATTAAATATAAGAATTATTTCCAAGACCAGTGATGATGAGTATTTCGAAATACTAAAAACAGTTGTATGGTCTGCCAAAAATGAAATTAATTAAAATAACATAAAAATGAATATTTGTTGTTATAGTTCACTACTTTTTGAAAACCTCTTTAAAAAATAATTTTATAATAAATTAAGGAAACATTTACAAGAATCTTTATTTATAAAGCATTATTTATTATAAAATCAAAACCTAAATATATTTTCAGATAATTTTATATCAAATCTACTATGAACAAAAATTCATCATATTCATTCATATTCTATAGTATTTTGAAATTATATTGCTTTAATTTCGCTTTATAAACAACTTTACCACAATTGTATAAACTATCTTCTATCTTTACTATATTCGTTTATTGATATTATATGTTAATTGCGCGCAGTCTTACATATTGGACATTCTTGACAGATCATAAATAAATTTGGAACACTCAAATGTATATATTGCATAAAGTTTAACTTAAGTCTTAAATCTACAGCTTTTTGACCAGAACCCTACTACGTCATCAAAATTTGCCCTATTATTAATAAAAGATCTGATATGGTCTAATTGTGGATCTAGAATATGCACTATTCTATAATAAAAAAGAATGTCGTTAATATAATATAAACCGATGAATGACTATTTCGATCATATGGATCAGAAAATAATTAAATTATCGCATTGGGATGCAAAAAGTTATTTAATTTTAATTTAATTTTTTCAGTTGTTGAAAGTTAATGCGAATGGAAATAAAAAAATAAGATAAATGAATTTATCAGCCAATATTGTTAATAAATTATATCCGCAAAAGCATCCTAACTTTACAACAAAAACTCTTTTATAACCCAAATACTAACTATTTTACATTAATTTATATCAATTATAAAATAAGCCCCTTCACTTCACTAACGGATGCAGTCAATTCTATTCAAAGTACATACACTTCGGAAAGTGATTTCTTGATATGAGAAAATAAATCCAATTTAATGAGTTGTAGGATTCATTTGTAGTATTTACTCAAATTCTTATTAGCAAATGGTTGGGCATATGGAAATAAATCTGTCTCATCAACGGTTCTTTAAAACTGCTTAAGTTGTGTACTAATTTCATTGTACTTACAGATATAAGGTATCCTTTACATCTAAAGTCTCCTTGTAATTTCTTAAAAATTATGTGTAAGTTTTAATTTAATTTATTATTATCTTAGCAATAAACGTTTTATTTTTTGTTAAAATCTCAATTCAAACAGTGTTTAATCGTCAAAAAATTTGAAGAAAAAAATATTTATACTTAATATATTTATTTAACAAAATGGCCCCACATAATTCACATAATTGGCATTAGAAACACTAAGCGTCCTGTTCATGTCCACAGCTATGGATAGGTTCAAGAAATATATGGCTAGATTCACATATATCACTCAATTCCTCTATTTGATAGTCATCAATGTTTTCATTGTTTCCCGCGAAATCAACTTCAACCTCTTCTATCGTATCGTTACTATATTCGTCACAGTTTTCCTCATGGATTGAAACTGCGTCCTCATGATCATTATCACCAATAGGATAAGTACTGTTAGTCGTAGTAGGTGTAGTATTAGAAAGTTCTGCTCCAATAACGCAAGTTGAGTCAGTTATTGGTTTTATACCAGAAAATATATATTCATAACCATCTGATGTACGAACTAACAGAGCTATTTCATCCTTTTCGCGAATCATGGATATCTCCGTAGTTTCTGGAGGCAATGTTATTTGTAATTTTGCATTTTGACGAGAACCCTTTAAGCTCTGCTTCACTGCAGCTCTGAAATTAAAAATATAACGAACTACAAGAAAAACTCTTTTGATGACTGACACTTACCGTTTACGATTAAAAGGTCTGATGATGTTTAAAAGTTGGCATAAATGGAGTAACATAAGAAGTGTAAGTATAATGATTAGCGCAAAATTTATTGCATGCAGGACCGTCAATTCATGTTGCAATTTTTTTGAAATAGCGTGTTCCATTTTGTATTCATGGGGCCTAAAAATTTAGTATTACTTCTTAGGAAAAAAATTAAATAATGAAAATGAATAAAATTTATTTGAAAATGTCATTATTAGTAAACGACTATGTTTGCTGAGATCTATATTTTTTATATTTATATAAATATTATTTAAATAATTAACACTTCTCTTGAACGGCCACTGCACTTGAATTAAAAATTTTTTTAAGACCAAATATGAGGAAAACTTCACATTTATATGACGCATCCTTGAGCAGTCATGTCTCTTGAAAGAACAAAGAACAACAATCATTTAAAAAATTTTTACTGAATTGCATAATATAAAAAAAACTAAACTATTTTCAAATTATTAATGAAATTCATTAACACAAAAGCAATTACTATTAAAGTTTCCTCTACATTATAAAATCGCTTCTAGATTTGTAGACATCATTGTTTTGTCAGAAATGGGGTTTTACTTCCATGTACTCAAATAGCAATTCTTCGAAAAAGTCTCACTGAATTTGTTAATTTATTTGCTTATACAGATAATACTATCTTATAGCACAATCATACTGTTTCATTTAGGTGCTTTTGCTCATTATAATTACTAATTAGGATAATAAAACCATACAAAAATCGTTCATATAAATGAGCTCATTATCAATAAATCAGCTCATTTAAGTCGAAAGTTGTCGAATGCAACCCTTAAAAATAAATTTCCCACAAGGGAAATTATCAAAAGTTGAAAAGTTTGTTATATATTTCATATGTAAAATGTAAACAAACAAGAGCTGAGCTGTAAACAAAAGCATTGACAAAGTAAGTATTTAATAAAATCTTTGTTTTTAATAATTAAATATGTAATTGATATATGTAATATATATAAATGATTAAATATATCAATTATACATTTAATTGTTTTATGTAATATATTATTTAGTGATGTTTATAAAAGTTTATAAAATATCTATCAGCTGCATAAATAAGCTCATTATAATGTGAACGTTTCCTCATTAATATAAATGAGCAAGTGCCTAAATGAGACACTGTGAATGCATATATATATATATATATATATAATGACGCACTCACATTACATATTGTATATATCTAATATCAACTAAATGGATATGATACTAAAAATATGATCTGGCAACGATTCGAAAGTTGGGAAATGAAAGTGGAGAGACAAAGAGTTGAAAAAGTTTGATTTTGCTAAGTGTTTATTAATATCACTCTCATTTTATGTTTTAATAAAAGAATCAATTTTAAAGTTTTAAATATAATAAAGAAGATTATATCTAAAAACAGATTTTCTCTAACGCATAGAGAAGCTAGCTAACTCATCCGGCCATATAGACCCGATAGACATAAATAGGTTGAACATTTAGCAATCTAAATTTATTTATGTCCAAAAGCCTAAAAAACGCATCAATATCGAAATATGTAGCAAGTGAAGAGATTATGTTAAGGTTGGGTAAGATTATATATATATATAAACTATATGTTTTAAATCGTAATATCGATTGCTATTGGTTAGAATGGCTCGCGAGTTACATGAGACCTCATCCAAATAGAACGAAAAGGGATTAAGGCAACTTATTCCTCATGTATTGAAGTAATCAGTTAGCAACTAAAGAAAATCGTCAGAAAGCAAGTATTTGTCAGAACATATTACTTACAATGTATAGCATATGTATGTAATTTATCTAATGAGTTGATTTCAATGCTGCAAAGGACCTTCATTTATAATCGAACTCTAAAGAGCATCAATTAAACATTTCGATCTCAATTAGGAACAATAATGTATACAACATTGTTGACTTAGATTGAGTATAACGAAATTTATGGATTGTTCTTAAACAAACTCCAAAAAACATAAGAAGTTTACTTTTTGAGTACAGCAATTCTTCAGTTTTACTCGTTTAATGCCGAAACCAAAACTATAACTAATACGTTCCTCAGTATATTTGCAGTATTATTATCTAACGTCTGACAATATTGCAGCTTTTGTTGACTGTAAATCGAGACCAGGTTAAAATTGTATATTATTTTCGAAACATAAAAAATGTAAATAAAAATTCAAATTTTTTTCTCTTTGAAGTGTGATGTTTTTTATTATTTCGTTATGCATATATAACAATCAATGCATATTGTTTTAAGTATATCGGTTAAGATCATCAGAAAATATTTTTCAATAGCGTTTCTAATCATTTCGAAAATATTCATAAGTTATGATGGAGTGTTGAATTTAGAGGCTAAAAAATTATAGGCGTTAAATTTAGATGCTATTAAGCAGGCAATCAAACTTTTATTAGTTTTTTAGAGTTATTAAAATGGTTAATTTGTATGAATGTGAAAAAATACACGTGTTTTTGAACGAATATTTATATGCGATGCTCTGTAACCTTTTGAATGTGAATAATTAATCCATGAGATGCAATTTGACTGCATAAATAATGGCTGGCTACGTGCTAATTGGTGTGCATCTTCAATGCAGTACATAAGTGCATTTATGAAGTAAAAATGTATTTAAGGCAACAAACAGAAAACATAAACTCCAATGAACTGAAAATTTAATGGCAACTTAAATTTGTAATTTTATTAAAACAAAATATAGTAAAATTCGCTTACATTAAAATTCACACTTTTGCGCTAATGGCCAGAGCAACAACAATAGCAACTACCTAAGGTGAAATAAAAAACTGGAGTCCATGTTTGAGTTTTGAACTGTGCAGAACTTAATTGTAATGGTCAAACTACCGTTGCTCCATGGCAATATAAAGGCAATAAATATGTTTTCGCGGCACTCATTCTTTATATTTGCGAGCTTTCTATGATCATAATAAAGCCTAATATGTTTTGTAAATAGTAGACAATAAATACATTCGGTTGTGTTAGAAAACTCAAACTTAGAGAAGTTTTGGTTTTCGTATAGAAGAAGAAGAACCTACGTATCTTGACAGCTCAAAGTATTTTAACTAAAAAATATTTTTATTAAAATTTTATAATGATTAATGATAGTTGGGTATGGACAAATTAATATCATTGATCACATCATATCCTCATATTTATATAACCGTTTGACAATCTAGAACGACCAAATAGTCAAAGCCCTTTATTTTGTCGCTATGATACCTTCAAGATTAAATGAGTAGTAGAAAAATAAGACTGTAGCATCCGTCAGCAGATAATGTTCTTATAATGTTCTTGCAAAACATACAGGTTGAACAGAGTTCAGCAGCGCGAATGTAAACCATAATTATGCGATACAACAACTATACAGATTTCTGCAGTAACTTATAGTATCAGAAAACGTAAATCACAAATGGTTAATCCTCATGTCAGATAGTTAGGCAGAAATTAAACTTTAGACTCTAACTTGACAAAGCCTCTACTGCTTTGAGTAATAGTCTATGTCCTACAAGGCTTAAGTTCTAAAACCCAAATTATTTTACACTTAAAATTAGCAATGGTCTTGGTAGCAATAAAGTAACGCAATATAAAGGGCAATAAAGAGGTTACGTGTCCTTATATACAAAGTGGGTTAAGCCAAAATGATCGAGCTCGGTTTTAAACCGAGCTACAAACTATGGGTAGCTAACTAAAATCAATAGAGTTTTAGGTTTGGTTTTGTTGAATTATAAACTATTTAAAAGTAACTTGTCTCTGCTAATAAGAGATAATAACCTTTGATTATATGCTTTATATAGTAATGGACTCCACTAAGAGATGTCACCACAACCTGCTTAAGTAGAAAGTAGTGTAAAGAGTGGCTGACGCACCTTGTTTGTTCAAATCCAAGTGTTTGAAGGTAAATTAACATCAAGTTCTAGAAATCAGTACTGATCATGATAATTATCCAACAAAATTACCCGATACTGCGGAAAAATCTAGTGTTAAGATTGTTTATAGAAGAAACCTTACAGGTATTGGAAACTGTTTAACCAGAAGTTAACATATCTAAGGCTATGAGACACAAAAATACTACTGCAGTTCCAGGATAACATTGCACACTAATAATAAACCTAGATATTCGGAACTCATCAAAAGAAACACTGCAAGGCTTACTACAGTTCTTTCTGCTCATTGATGTACAGGAACCCACGCAGAGAAACTGCGTATTCCTCGTAATCCTTGCTACAGAAATTATGGAAACCTGCAGAAAAAAGAAACCAAAAAATTTTTTCGCAGTGAATGCCGGGCTTAGGCGTTCAGAATAAATAGATTTTTAGAGAGATTCTTTTTTGACAATTTATCAGACTGTTAATTGGATTTAGTCTTTACTCTTCTATAATAGGGGTTCTAACGAGTAATTTGGTGGCAGTAAAGTCGAAATGTATGGAAGTTCTCTAATGGCTTACCACTACAACCAACCAACTACTTCAGTTATATTTTTAATCGGTTGTAGGAGCGAAATAAAATTTATTCACTAAAATGAATTCTTGCATGAAAAATTGTGGTGACAAATGATCTTAACATAGTGTAGATGTCCTTTTAAGAATGTCGACAAACTTAAAATATCCTTACCAATATGTATACGAATGATACGAGGGCGATTCGATAAGTCAGTGACTTTTTGAATTTCCCGTGCAGTTATTCCAAGTGCAACAGTGCTGCCGTCAGCTGTAATCTACCAGTGGGCAACTTTTTAATTTTGAGCAAGCTGCGACGTTCAGTTGGTGTTTGATAACCGTTAAAAGCAGACAACCTCGTGAATTTTTACGAAAATGAAAAAAAGTTAATTTCATGTACTGATTAAGCATTCGTGGCCAAAATCCACGAATTGGGATACGAACTGCTACCCCATAGTCCCCTGCGACTATTTTCTGTTTCCAAACCTAACGAAATGGCTGTGCGGTAAGAGATTTGAGTCGAATGAAGAGGTCATTACCGAAACAAACGCGTATTTTGAGAGGTTTAAAAGGTAATTATGTAGAAAAATAAAATGTTTATTTGCCGAAAAAAATTTGTTTTATTCAAAAAGTCACTGAATTATCAAACCGCCCTCGTATAAAAAGAAGGGTTCATTAAAAGATATTTCTAAAAGAATGTTTAAATAT